GCTGTAGGAAGGTGCATCTGGAGGCCATCTCCATCAGGGAGGGCCTGTCCCCCATCTCCCCCACTCATTCTCGCTATCTAATCAGGGCCAGAGGCCCTTTCCTGGGAGGTTGCTGGAAAGCCTTTGAGAGGCTTCAGCAGTAGGGAGGAAGGTGCATTTGGAGGCCATCTCCGTCAGGAAGGGCCTGTCCCCATCTCCCCCACTCTTTCTTGCTAAGGATGCTCCCCCTGGGTGCCCCAAGAGACATCTGCGGGCTAATGGGAGGGTAGAAAGAAGGATGTGAAGGGCCAAGACGGTGGGCTGGAGGCACCCATCCAGTGTCTGAGGTGGCCTGGCCTGCTCAGGCGGATTTTGACCTAGTCCTGAGCTGCCCTGGGACAGGCTGGTGTCTGTTGTCTGAGTGTCGGGCCTTGCTTGGAGTTGGCACAAGGAGTTGCTCTATGAGGAATAGCTAGGGTGAAAGGTGGCAGATAAGCCACCTGTTCCTTTGGTGGCCCAGGCTAGGCCCCTAAGCAGGGCAATATGGCAGTTCCTAAGGTACCGGGAGACTTTCTGTATCAAGGTAGAAACAGGAGCTGTAGTACTGAAAAGGTGCAGAGTGGCCGTCCTGACTAGAAATGCACTCACACGTGCCATTGAGGAGACGAGGACACCCACCAACATCATGACACCCAAACTATGGGATGGAGAAGAGCTGGCACCAAATTCTAGGCAATGACACATGCTCTGGCTTAGTAGGTCCATGGGCTTGGTGGGCTTGGCACCACTTTACAGATGAGGAAATTGAGGCCCAGACAGTGAGACAATGTCACAGCCATGTGAAGCCACTTAGGGATGAGGAGCAAAGATGTGAGCTGTCAGGCCAGGTGGCCCTTCTGGATGGCAGGTCTCACGTGCCAGGGGGGCCTAGGAGGGTTTGAAGGAAGCCCAAGTGCCCAGAAGAAGAGGAAGACTAGAAGTGGCATGGGAACATGCCTGTTCTCCCTCCCACGTGAGCTGTGGGCAAAGAGGACCCAGGATCCTAGAGGAGGTCGTGTGTGGGCCTGCAGGTGGCAAGGCTCGCTGAGAGCAGCACAGAGGGTCCCTAGAGGCCCAGGGCACACCCCCCCACACACACCCAGGATGTCTACCCTGGGGGAGGGAGAGAATTCCCCGCTGCATCCGTTGGCTCTCCTCACTTCCCAGTCCTTCCTCAGCACTGCTCACCTGGCATCAACTTTTGAGATCCATCATTAGCTATCCAAGCAGCCCCAGCTCCTGTTTCATTTGGTTAAACCACTGTTTGTTTAGTCTTTATCACACAGGCAATGCACATCCATTATAGGAAAAATGGAATGCACAGAAGAGCAAAGTATTTTGGTATATATCCATTCAGATGTTTCTTTCCCTGTGCAACATAGTGTACATAGATTTTTAAGTAAACGGCACCATCCTTCACATCTTTTTTTAAAGATTTTATTTATTTATCTATTTATTTAGAGTGGGGGGAGGGGCAGAGGGCGAGGGAGAGAGAAAATCTCAAGCAGACTCTGCTCTGAGCATGGAGCCTGACATGGGGCTCAGTCTCACAACCCTGAGATCATGACCTGGGCTGAAACCGAGAATTGGACGCTTAATCGACTGAGCCACTCAGGTGCCCCTCTACACGTCTTTTTTTTTTTTTTTTAAAGCTTTCTTTCACTTAACGATATAAGGAAACCATATATAGGAAGGCTTGCTAAATACCACTATATATCAATATCATTTGTAATGACTACGTAGTATTTGCTTGAATAATGGATAAGAATATGTGTAAATATGACTGTTGGGAATCTAGATTATTGCCTAATTTTCACCATTATGCTCAGCACTGGGATGCCACCCCTCTAGTATATACTTTGTTCTGCTTACTCATTTGTCTCCTTAGGAGAGATTGCCGTGACGGGGAGCTGAAAGACCAATGGTCGTACCCTATCTAAGGCTTTCAGTACATATAGAGATTTGTCCTCTGAAAAGATGTGTCCATTGACCTGTCCAGCAACAGTGCATGAGAGCTGCCTGTCTGTAGTGAGGGTTTTCCCAGTTGTCCATTGATTGGGGATGAAGGGGATGGTGGATCCGAGAGGAGACCTGGGTCCAAGGAGGGGTGCCAATGTTTGGTTAGTCAGAAGCATGGCTCCTGCCAGCTTTCAGTGCAGAGTGTGTTTTGGTGGTGTGTGTGTGGGGGGGTGCCTGGGTTCTGTCCTTGCTGAGGCTGGTAGAGGGAGCAGGTCTCGTCTGGGAAAACTTCGATCAACAGTACCAAGGCACTCAGGTCCAAAGAGGGGAGAGCCCAGTAGGAGCAGGAACAGGCAAGACAAGTGGGCCCCTCAGGAAGGGGCAGGGCTTAGCTCAGCAGGAGGAGTTGGAGGGCATTGGGGGGGGGGCGGGTACCAGCATAAGCAAAGGCATAGGGATTACCGTGGCAGGGCCACCTTCCGGGTATGTTGAGACACATCGTCTTCTTGGAGCACAGTGTCAACATCGAGGGGCACTTGTGAGAAAAGTGGCTGGGTCAGGGGACTGGGGAGTTTGCCCCCAGGCTTAGAGACAGTGGAGAGCCAGCAGAAGCTGAATGAGAAGCGAGGGCCGATGTGGGCCAAGCTGCAGGAATGAAGCAGAGATGAAAGCAGGGGTCCAGGGCTGTGTGGGGCAGGGAGAGGAGGGAGTGGTGAAGTGGAGGGAAAAGCCAGCTCTGTAGTTGGGACATGAATTCAAACTGCATGTGTCCATCTGTCTGTCTGGGGCTCATCATTTTAAAGGCTCCTTGTTCCAAAGAGCTGCCTTCTTCAATCCCATGGGATTGAAGAAGCCTGGGGGCAAACTCCGCAGTCCCCTGACCTAGCCACTTTTCTCACAAGTGCCCCTCGATGTTGACACTGTTGACACTTCCTATTTCCTCCCTCTTTCAGATGTATTATCCTATCAACAAAGGACATTAGACTTCTGAGATGTGGCATCAGCCCTGCTCTTTGCCTGGTGGGGGCAATAAGACTTAAGTCTTGTGATTGGGGTCTTAGCTGTAAAGATGGGACCTAAGACAACTCCACTCCTCCTTACTGTGGGCTCTTACACGTGTCCCTGCGCCTTTGGCCAGGGAGTTCCCAATGGCCCCTCTGCCTCTGTCATTCTGCATGTGTGTGCACCTGTCCTGATTTTGGAGGTAGCTGGTTTGGTTCTGATTTGGCAGAAAACTTCTAGGCAGTGTGGGCAACAGGTTTGTCAAGGGGAAACTGAAGACTTCCTGAAGGAACCTAAAGACTCAGCAGTAGGAGGCCCTGAGCTGGGGCCCAGAGAAGGTGAGGGACTTGCCCAAGGTCTCACAGTCAGTCAGAAGCACCAGCAGACTGAGGGGCCAAGATCCCAGGTGGCAACTCTGTCTGTGTGCCCTGCCCAGTGGGGCTACTCCATGGGCTGCTGGGATGGGTCCACAGATCACCTACGGAAGGAGTTCTGCTCAACAGAAGTCTGACGTGGCAGCTTTGGTCAGGGGCTGGGCAGTGGGGCTGCCATTCACTGTGATGAGGTGCCACTCCTGGCAAGCAGCAGGCTTGGGCCTCCTGGGCTGCTCATTCAGTGTGGTTTATGGGAAAGCCAGTTCTCGCTGATGCGGCAAATTTGGTTTGCTCTTGGCCCTTGCCTTACCTACTTTAGTGTGCCCCTGACCTCTAAGGAAACATGTCCAGGCCTTGCCAGCTGGCAGCAGGGCCTGGCCACTCTGGGCCTGGCCCTGGAGAGGCCCCGAGGGTGGCAGGCTCCTAAGAGGGAGACTGCTCTGCCTCAGGACTGTTCTGGCAGGGCCACAACCCCTCCTTCTCATCATGCCCGCTTGCCTGAATCTTCGGCCCTTCTCTTGAGGTCCAAGGGGCCAGCTGTGGCAGGCCAGGGCTGGGATTAAACTCACAGTATGGGCCTTCCATCTCCCTGAAGCACTGTGCCGGTCCCAGCTTGGAGAGTTGGCTTCCGCAGCCCAGCCCCTTCTGGGGCAAAGACATTCACGGTGCTGTGAAGGCCTCAGAGACCACTGTGGTCCACCTCTCGCTGGCCACAGGAGGGAAGCACGTGGCTCAAGGGCAGAGAAGAGGCAAGGAGGGGCAGCAGGGCAAGGGTACAGAGAGGAAGAGAGAGCAAGCAGAGCACAGCAGCAAGTCCTGACAACTAGCCAACCCCTGAGCCACGCAGGGCTGCACACCCTCAGGTTGTGCTTGTACTGACTGAAGACCACTGACGGTTCCCTCTCCCAGCGAGGACAGCTTGAGAGTCACTGCTGCTTGGCTCCTGTCCAACTGCCCTGAGATCTTTGCTGTGCCAGGTGGTGCCAGGCACTTGTAAGAACATTGGTGCATTCTGCCTTCTTGGCAGTCCTGACGGGTAGACTTTTTACAATCCCATTTTACAAATGAGGACACTGAGGCAGACTGGAGAGGTTAGCTGACCAACCCAAAGCCTGTCAGACAGCAACTAAAGAGTGCGAGAGATGGTCCGGCGCCCAAAGCAGCTGGTGCCCCAGCCCCCACCCTTCCCCTAGTCCCTCTTTCTGAGCCCACCGGTGCCAGCCCTCCTGAAGCCTGACTACACCGCTGCCACTCTCTCCCCTACACTCCCCTGGTCCTGGAATCTGGCCATCAGCGCTCTCTAGGAGGGTTCGTGGCCTGCCCTTATCAGCTATCTCTTGAACAGACAGCCCCGGCAGCCCGTGCCGTGTTCCCCAGGTGAACAGCTCTAGGCAGACAGGTGGAAGTACCATCTGACAGTGGCAGATCCAGTGTGTGCTCACTCCCTGGCCTCTGCCCACTACCCAGAACTTCACCAACTCTTGCTTCCCAATGTCGAAAGGACAGTCTGGATGGTCTTGGTGTGGTCAGGGACCACACGATGACCTGCAAGCCATTATAAATGCATGAAGTGACAAGCCATGTGCTTGCCTTTGCCACCAGGAGCCCTGTTGAATCAACTGAGAAGGGATCTGCAGAGCAAACACCATGAGTATCTCAGCTCTTGGAAGCAGCACTAAAGGTGAGGCCTGGGCTCCCTCTTGTCCCAGGCTTTGTGAGAGCGGCACATTGGGAGGACTGGAAGGGAGGTCTCAGGGTTCCGGGGCTGGGCTCCCCTTCTGAGACTGCCTGGCCTTGCTCCTTCCAGGGAAGCCCCTACCACCAGGTGAAGAAGAACGCAATAATGTCCTCAAACAGATGAAGGTTCGAACCACACTGAAGGGGGACAAGAGCTGGATCACCAAGCAGGATGAATCGGAGGGCCACACTCTGTAAGTCCAGGAAGCTGGGAGGCCAGCAAAAATGGGGTGGGGTGGGCCTGTGATCCACAGGGGCCTGTCAGTACCTGGGGATGCTGAGGGACTTCTACCATTCAGACCTCTGCCGGGCCATGTGGCCACAGGCCAGCTGGGGAGGGCGGAGCATGGGAAAGCAATCCAGCTGAGGCCAGACTCACCCTGTGACTTTGGGTGCTGAGTGGGCCTGTATATACGTGCCTGTGGAACGTGAAGGCAGGGCCAGGGAAGGCGAATGTGAGATGAGAATGGTGGGCCAAGTTATTGAGGTGCACGTGCTGCACCCCACCTCACCTGCTTTCAGTCAGCAGGCAGCCTCTAGGATGGAGGCTGCAGGGTGGCTGATGGTAGGGAGACACTTTTTCACGACTCTTTTTCCCCAGAGAGCTGCCCTCTGGTCGGAGTCGTGCCACATCCTTTTCATCAGCTGGGGAAGTCACGAAGGCCAGGTAAGAGGTGGCGCCCAGATGGCTGGTGGGTGGACCTCGTGCTGCAGTCTTCAGGAGATAAGGGGGATCCCAAGCTTGGAAGAGGTGTCAGGGTCTACAGTGAGTCATTTCAAATCCACAGGAAGGACGGGCTTTTCTGCTCTGGTCCCCCTGGGGAAAGGGAATGCAGGAGTCACTGGGTTCGGGTGCCTGGCCTTGCTGTGTGACCTTGAAGCTGGCTGCCTAAATGGGCCTCCATGGTTCCAGCTGTCTACTAGACATTGAGAAGCCCCCACAGGGGGTGAGACAACATCTCTGAGGTGGTGTAGGCAGCTTTAAGAGTCACACTTGACTCTCTCCCATGGGGAGTCCTGACTGCTGAGGATACTTGGTAATCAGCATGTCACGGGACACTCACACATTTGTTCCAGCTGTCTCCCAAGTTCAGGATGACCTATTTTGACAGCTAGCCAAAGGGAACAGCCCATCACCGCTCTACTTTGAGGACTTCCACATATCGGTGTCTAGGGATGCTCTGGAGCTCCTGAGAAGCAAGAAGGTGGGGGAGTGCAAAATCCAGGCGGTTGGCAGTGAGCACAGTTGCCAGGGCCTTTCTCAGGTGGTGGTAGAGGCGGCGGCAGCAGCTGGAAGGGAGGGGTCCAAGGTCACTGCTAGGTCCCAGGGGCTGCCTCTGATAATTATGGACTTGCCCATCTCCACTGTTCACTTGACTCAGCACCCACTACCAGCCAAGTCCTGTGTTTGGCACAGAGGACACAGCTCTCCCCTCAGGGAACTGACATCTTAGCAGGGAACACAGGCATGACCCAAGTAGAGAGATGATCATAAAAGAGAGAATCATGGATTGTGATCGTTGCAGTTGGCAAAGTTGCTGAAGACCTGAGGACGGTTCGAAGATAGTGTACTCATTGGGGGGCTCGTTTACTTTGGGTGGTGCAGTTCTCACCCTGGGCCTCTGTTGGGAGGCATGTTTGGAAAGCACATCCCGGGGCACTGTGATTCAGGGCCTGGATCAGGGATACCTGATACCTCTACATACCTCCCTCCTAGGCACAGGTATTTTAGCCAAAAATGGTTGTGTGGCTAGATGGGGGAAAAGTGACCTTTCTTTCTCAGGTCCCACCCCAAGTGTTCTTGCAACTTTGTCACCTCCAGGAGGCTGACCCTATTAAGGACAAGGATCTGTCAAGACGGAGAACACTGGGGCTCTGTGCTGTCCTTCCCACCTGCTTGTATGGGGTTCCCTTAGACCCACTCCCCCCACCCCTGCTCCAGCACTAAACTCCTCTGTTCCTACACAGAAGGGCCATCTGCCGAATCCTTGTCTCCTGCCCCTGCACCCCAAACTCACAGCTCTTGGCTGCCTGCCACTACCAGTCCTCTGAGCCCCCTCAGTTGCTCCCAAGGAGGAGGTACCCAGCACGTGCAGTTTGTTTTCCAGCCATGCCCTCCAGTCCCAAACTTTGATCAAGACAGTGATGTGGGCATCTCAGGAGCTGGAGGAGGGAAGCCCCAAGGAGCAGGAAGGGAGGGGCATCTGGCTTTAGTTCTACCCCTTGGGCCCTCATGAGCCTCTCCAAAGGAGGCTGTGCAGAGATATCAGGTCAGAGACCATGGACTCTCCCCGCCATAGGCCTCAGACCATGGAGCCTCCAGTTCTGAGAGTAGAGGGTGAGAGGGCTGTCAGCAATCCCAAAAGACCTCTTTCTCACGGGAGTGTTGGGCCCTGGCAGGCCAGGAAAAAGCTGGAGTTTGGAGGAGAACCCTCTTCAGCAAATGCTCAGCCATGGAATATACAGCTTCAGCAAATGCTCAGCCGTGGAATATACAACATGGGCACTTGGTGTGAGCCAGGACCATCCTGGGCCAGTTGGAAGAATCAGCCATAGGTACCTTTCCTGCGGAGCATGAGAGAGATGGGCAGAGCAGAACAGGCACCCTGGCTTGGGGTGAAGGGGTGGCTGCCCCTCTCGCCGCCCTCATTCTGACCACACTTGGACACCCACCAGCCAATCCACTGACAATCAAGCTGTCATTGGGTGCAGGAGAAAGTAGGGCATCTTTGCTTCACTTCATACCTTCTTTTCCCTTGGCAGGCCTCCAAGCATGAGGGCTCCCACTGGCTATATCATCCGGTAGGTGACCACAGGATCCTGCCCCCTCCCCTATGTCTGCCCGCACTGTTCCCAGGCTTCTCACAGGGGAGCTCACTGGACTACTTCTGGGCTCTCTTTTAGGGGAGTGTTCACCAAGCCCATAGACAGCTCGTGTCAGCCCCAGCAGCACTTCCCCAAGGCCAACGGAGCTCCAAAAAGGTGTGTGTCCATGGGGTGAGGGCCTAGGCCAAGCAGCAGGTATGAGGGCCTATGCCAAGCTCATGGCAGAGAGATTACTCTTCCCGTCACGAAGGGGGGGCGGGCAGGAGGGGTGGTAGGTGGCAGCTCTCTGCCTGTGTAGGTCAGGGCCCTGGATAGCAGTGCTGGGACAGAAAGCCCCCAGGCGGATGTATGGTCCAGTTTGGACACTTGGGTTTCCCAGCAGCCATGTCTCTGGGAGACCCTGGGCCACTACCCGACTGGCCCTGGTCACTGGGGCAGAGACACAGGGAGGAGGCTGGGCGGGCTTCACAGCTGACTTGCTGGCTGACGGCACTGAGCTGTGTGCTTTAGTCCACCTTCTTCCCGGCAGGCTGAGGTGACACATCATTGTCAAAGCACCTTGGTGTCAAGTTGAACCTGGGCTCCATCAGAGAGGCAGGGCCAAGGGGCCTGGGCCTACCGATGGCAGGTGTCCTGGGTGTCTGGCAGGGCTGAGGGAAAAGAGGAAAGGCCACCAGCCACATGCCTCCTGGGCCATGTGGGAAGATTTGGAAGCAAGAGGGGGCCTGGGAGTGGGCACATGGAAACTCCTTTCCTCTCCAGTGCTACCGGTCTACTGAGAGCAGCTCCTACTGGGCCTCCCCGCCCCTCCTCCTCTGGCTATAAGATGACCACTGAGGATTACAAGAAGCTGTAAGTATGCAATTGCGGACCCAGCTCAGTTCCCTCCTCCAAGGACCAGCCCAAACACCAGGCCAGCTGAGGGCAGCTGGTTGCTTGCCTCTGAGCATGGCCCAGGAGTGCCAGTCCTGCCAGCCTGACATTCCTGCCAGTGCCACTGTGACCTGGAGCTTACCAAGGGGGTGACAGACCCCAGAAAGCCAGGCAGCTGTACACATTGCACTTCTGATCTGAGGCAAAACAAGGGCTGTAAAGAAGCTTATTGAAGGGGCCAGTGGGTCTGGAGAAAGCATCAAGGATCGTGGCTCTGGGGCCGCTGCTGGTTGGCTTTGTTTCCTGGACATGCCTCTGCACCCCTCTGGGGTTCAGGCTAGGCTGGGCTGGGGCCTTATGACCCCAAGCGTGCTGATGGCCCTGGCAGCCTATCCATTATTGGCATTTTGTGCTGAAATCTGAGCGGCTTCTTGGATATAAATCTTTGGGGCTCCCCTTCTGGCCCCTATCAAAGAAGCCCCCCACTATGTGCCCAGGGAAGGGGGATTCTGGACAGAAGTGTGGGTTGTACCTATAGTTCCCAGGGGCCCCACATTTTTATATTGCTTTCTATCCCTTGTCACAATCATCCAGCGACATGGAGCAGCTAGGAAATCTTTCTGGAGAAGGGGAGAGGCTTGAACTGGGTCTTGAGGGACAGTTAGGGTTGGAATAAGGAGAGAGAAGAGGGCTGGCTCTTGAGGAGGAACAAGTGGCATGAACAGAGGCTCAGAGGCAGCAATGCCAACATGCGCTATTGTGGTTGTAAGTCAGGAAGCCTTACCGAGGGTGGCAGCCTGTGACAGGGAGCAGGGGCAGAGATGTGGGAGGAGGGGCCACACCCAACAGTATGCTCAACCCCTCCCCCTCCCCCAGGGCACCCTACAATGTCAGGCGCAGCTCAGCATCAGGGGCTGCTGAAGAGGAAGAGGTGCCCTTCTCGTCTGACGAGCAGAAACGGAGGTAATGGTGTCTGCTGGGCATCCCACGGGCAGGGCAGGGGCCCAAGTTTGCGTGGACCAGTGACATGGGAATTGTGCCAGTTGGGGTGACGAAGTGCACAACATGTATAATATCAGTGCCGGCCTGTTTACTGGAGAAGCAGCTGCCAGCAGCGGGTGTCCTTTACTGAGTCCCAGAACCACCTACTCAGTGCTGGGCCAGCTCAGAGGATCCTCTTATGAACCCTTTATGGAGCAGAACCTAGGTAATGAGGGTCTCGGGACAGCCTCAACTGTGGGTGGACAGACTGTAAGGAGGGAGGTGCTTTGAGACTTATATCAATTTGTTAAAAAAGAGTCCTGAGCAAATTGGATCAAAATCATCCATGCCCCTGGGAGGAGCCGTCTGTGTGCACGCTGTGTGCATGGAGTCCGGGCAGAGCCTGCATGCCTGGGTGGCAGGGTCAGGCTCCAGAGGTGCCAGTGCCCCTCACCCCCAAATGAGGCCCAGGTGCTTCGGCGGCAGCTAGGCCCTGAGGAAATAAAACCCCTGTGGGCTCAGCCTGACCCCAATCCCAATGTCAGTTGGGCTTCGTGAAGCTCCTGTACTGAGGGTCTGGCAGATGGGCAATCCTAAGGGCAGAGTCTACAGTGGCAGAAGTCCCTGGGCCTGGGAGGTATAGGGGACGAGCCAGAAGCTCCAGAGCCAGGCTGCCGGGCTTTGACTGTCCACTCTGCCACCGGCTAGGTGTGTAGTCTCTAAAGTCACTAAAGCTCCCTGTGCCTCAGTTTCCTCATCTGTAAATTGTGGGTGAAACTAGCACCTACCTTCCTGGGTTGTAAGGGTTCAATGAGACACCATGGATGGGCAGCATCCAGCAGAGGGCCGGGCCTCATATGTCTCTCTGTTTCCTTTGAATAGTTCTGGGAGCAGGTGCTAATTTGGCTTCATGTGCTTGCCTCTCTGGGCTATGCTAGCAGACTGAGTCCTGCCTTATGCCATTAGATGCCCCCTCCCTGTGCCACCCCAGGTCAGAGGCTGCGAGCAGTGTGGTGAGGAAGACAGCTCCCCGGGAGCACTCCTATGTTCTGTCAGCAGCCAAGAAGAGCACCAGGTGAGTTACACAGCAGGGCCTGGCTTCTGGGCCGGCTCAGCTACCAAGCGGCTCCCTTCCCCTCAGGGCTCCAGGGTTCCTTTGGCTAGTGAGGGGTTGGTTGAGAGAACCCTCCTAGCGGGACATTCTGGGATCCTCAGATGTACTTTCTGGAAAACTGAGAGGTCTGGCCCCTGCCATCAAGAATAGTGAGGTACTAGGAATGAGAGAGAAGCCCAGGTCTCTGTAAAGCAGAGTGGTCATGATATCACCTGTCCACGGGTTCTGTCCAACACGTTGCCTTTCTGCTTCCTTTTCAGCAGCCCTACCCAGGAAATGCAGGCCCCATTCATTGCGAAGAGGTAAATGTCAGCAAACGAAGCCTTGGAAGCCTCTTGCTGGCTACAGAGAAGGTCTCCTGACAGCAGGGGTGGAGTATGGGCGCCATGGAAAGCAGGCGCGGAGTGGGAAGTTCTGAGGGGCTGGTGGCTTCTGTTTAGAGGCCGGGTGAGCAACTGGCTGTGGTGGCACTTGTGGCTTCAACGGCCAGTTCTGCGTAGGCAGGCTCTGGCCCACAGAACGTAGCTTATGGCTGGAAACTTCCATTTGCTAACAGGGCTAGGCCACTGACCCCCAGTAGAGTCACAGTGTTTCCAAGGGCCTCTGAGGTTTTGAAGCAAATGTAGCTACCGGGCTGGACAATGCCTTGGCAGGAGGGATTATTGGGCTGGGGTCCAGAGGTTTGTCACTGGGAGCCTCTGCCTGGCCAGGCCCTTGGAAGTGACAGTGACATTGGAGATGGGCCCTAAAGGGTGAACAGGGTTCAACAGGGAATGATCAGGATGTTACATCACTCCATTAGTTGAGACAGAACATCTTCTGGGAGAGGAGACTATTTGGGGGAGCACAAGGAAGAAACTTCTGGAAGGTTGAATCTTAGGGAGATTCCATGGGGTAAACAAAGAAGGCATCTGTGATGAGGTAGCATAGCAAACTGAAGACTGGAATATAGCCAGGAAAGGGCAGTGGCAGCACAAAGGAAGTGACAGATAAATGGTGTGCTCTTACTGGCTTTATTAGGTTCCCGGGGCTGCTGCAACGAAGTACCACAAACTGGGTGGCATAGACCCCAGGAATGTATTGTCTTCCAGTTCTGGAGGCTAGAAGTCCAAGATCAAGGTGTCAGCAGGATTGGTTCCTTGTGGAGCCTGTCGCAGGCTTTTCTCCCAGCTTCTGGTGACCACAGGCAACCCTTGACATTCCTTGGCCTGTAGACACATCACTCCAATCTCTGCCTCTATCATCTTATGAACCTTTTCTCTGTGTGTCTGTGTCCAAATATCCCACTTCTTATAAGGACACCGGTCATTGGATTTAGGGCTCACCCTACTCCAGTGTCACCTGATCTTAACTCGATTATACCTTCAGAGACCCTACTTCCAAATAAGGTCACATTCATAGGTTCAAAGCCACACTATTCAACCTGATATGCTGTCCTTATGCCAAACTGGAGTTGCTAAGCCTCCAGGCTGAACCACCTCCTGGCCATAGACACCACTGAAAGAAAGCATGTCCTTCAGGAGCAGCAAGTTCTAGGGCAGCTGAGCACACCACAGGGGACAAGCAGTGCATCTGTTTTTCTTCTTGCCCCAAGGGTTGAGGTGGTGAATGAGGACAGGCCTTCTGAGAAGAGCCAAGACCCACCTGCTCTAGCAAGATCCCCTCCTGGCTCAAACAGGTAAACAATCACTCATCTCTGCCTGGTGCTGGGGGCTTCAAGGCTTGCCCTGCCACTGTCACTGTAGGACCTCTGCCGGGTTACCGCCTTGCAGGGCCTCAGGGTCACTGTCCCTATGTGCCCAGTGACAAGATGAGGCACAGAAATCAGTAAGAGCCTGTCTAGCTGGATGTCCTAGGGCTGAATGGAGCAAAACAGCCTGGTGTCCAGGAAGAGTATGTCACTCTTGTCTGTTTGATGCTTATCTGCATTAACTTAAACCAGTAGCAGCCACAACATCTTAGGAAAAAGTACTAACCATAGGGTTTGAGAGGGCCTTCCTCCTAGCCCTGCCATTCTTGGGCTTGTTTATAGCTGTACTAGAAGTTGTCCAAGTTCAACCCACCAACCGTGTCCTCTGCCTCCTCTGGAGAAGGAGGCTCCACAATCCCCAGCCCTGCTCACAGCTGCCTTCTTTGCCAAAGTGTCTCGGGCGATTTGGATTGAGTGCATGCCGAGTCTGCCCAGCCCTGCAAGGGAGCTGGGAGCCCAGGTGGGTGCTGTGAGTGGCTCTGGCCTGTGAGCCAGTCAGATGGGATGGTCTGGGACCGGGGTGACAGGGCAAGGGCAGGCGATCACTGGTGATCTCACTACAGACGGGGCCCTGATTTGCTCTGATTTCTGAGCCCTGAGTATCCGAGCACATGACGGTGCTCACTTGTCTGCAAATAGAGAGCAATCAATACCTCCTTGTACTTTGCAGTGAATTGAGCTAAGTCCTGTTGAGAGCAGCACTTCCCTGTTGTTGCTGCTGTTTGAAGCTCCAGCCTAGACTGGGGGCTTTGTCCAAATCCAAGTCTGTTAAGTGGTATGTCTCCATGGCACCCTTGGAAGATCCTGGGGCTAGAGGGGCAGAGCACCTGTTCCTACAGGTCACTTTCAGGGACCCCATGGACTGTTCCAGCTCTCATAATGCCAGTGCAAGCCCCTACTCCCCTCCCCATTTCAAGTCCCACAACCATTTGTATGTGACCGTGGTCCTTTGGGGCCACCTCCTCTGTGCCAGGAGGAAGGTAGGGCCACCTGCCATAGCACAGACACCTGGTGAAGGAGAGCAAGGCTGCAGACCTTCTCTGCCCAGAGGGAGCTGGGAGTGTGAAGCCATCCTGAGGTCATAGCCCCAGCAGCAGGACTTGCCCCCTCTTCTTCACTCCCTCGCTCTCTTGATCCTATTTGTATAAACTTTTGTCCATAAGAACTTTTAAACAAGTGGAAGATTTGAGAGCTCTTCACAAGGCAGCGTTGATGGCCCTCGGGGGCTGTCTTAGTTTGCTAGGGCAGTTGTAACAAAGTACCACAAACTGGGTGGCTTGAAGAGCAGAAATGTATTGTCTCCCTGTTCTGGAGGCTAGAAGTCCAAAATCAAGGCGTAAGCAGGGTTGGTTCTTTCCGAGGGCTGGTGGGGAGGCCTCTGCCCGTGGCTCTTCACGTGCCCTTCCCTGTGTGGGTCCGTGTTCTGATCTCCTCTCCTTATAAGGACATCGGTCATTTCAGATTAGGGGCCCACCCTACTCCAGTATAACCTCATCTTAACTAATTCCATCTGCAATAACCCTGTTTCCAAATAAGGCCCCAATCTGAGGCACTGGGGGTTAGAACTTCAACATATAAATTTTAGAGAGGACATAATTCAGCCCCAAACTGCAGATCTCTGATTTCTCCTTATTTGTGTTTTGTGTTAAAAAAAAAAAAAATAAAGCAATGGATGGTTTCAGGTGTTTTTTAAAAAAGAGAACATAGAAGAATTAGGTTGTGCTGTATTATGTATTTGAGAGGCATTTTAACATTTATTCCAGAAAATTCCTTCGAATGTTTAATACCCATCAGCTGGCTGTCATAGCAAGGTGGCTGTAGTGGTTTGCTAGGGCAACAGTAACAAAGTCCCACAAACTGGTGGCTCAAACAACAGAAATATATTGTCTCACAGTTCTGGAGGCCAGAAGTCCAAGATCAAACTTGCCTGTGATGCCCAGGAAACTGGGACCAGATTACAGAATGTTCCAGGCACCAAAGATGTCTCACAATGGGGCAGCCTCCAACGGGAAGGAAGGAGTTGTCATCAGAAGTGTGCAACAGGGGCTGGTCAGGGAGGCTCAGTGTGATGCTTCTCATAGTATTTCTTCCCTCAGATTCTGCAGTCACAAAATATCTGCAACCCCCCAGACAGCTTCCACGTGAGCTGCTGGCTGGTCCTGGGTTGCCTTCCTTTCTGACCCCACTGGTCAGGTCAGGCAGCCACCATCAGTTCCCCACACCCAGCTTTGTTCTGCCTGGTTATTTGAGAATTCCAGGCCTGGATGTGTCCTTGAAGGAGCCCAGCCCTGTGGGGAGCACTTACTCAACCAAATTCTGGGTTCTGTAGCACTTCAGAAAAAGCTGGTTTATGGCAGAGTGGGGCAGGAGAACATCACAGCCTTGTCCCCAGCTATGGCCCTGCTGAGGTTGCCCCACACCCCTTGGCTCAAGTCTGAGGTAAGTTCCCCATCTCACACAGCGGGCCAACCAGGAGGGAAGCTCTTGTTTTAGGTGCCAAACGCTTTAGGGCCTTCAGAGAGGGCTGAAAGTTTGGGACAGAAAGAGTGCCACACAAGGACACCCACAGGCTATATCCTTGGGGCTGTCCAGCTGTCACTTTCCTTCCGTTAGATACCAGACCTGCCTAGCATCCCAAAGGCCTCTCAGCATCAAGTATCCACATCTGAACTACTTGTCTCTACTGTCATCCCCACCACCTCCCTGAGCAACTGCGAAAGGGGTCTTCCTTCCATGCACCCTGGGGCTTGACTTCTTGGGTTCATCTTGTCTTTAACCTTGTCATTATGGGTAACTCTTACCCACCTTCTGGACTGAGCTTATTGAAATACCCTTTTCCAGTGAAATTGGCTACTGTCCCCATTAGAGCACTGGTCAAGCTTCCTTGGCTTTCTGCCTCACCCAATCATGGCAAGGCCTGTAGGCTGTGCCCCAGCATGCTGCCTGACAGAGTAAGCTGGAGAGCAGTAAAAGCACAGCTTCTGGCACAAGGCCTTGTACTTTAACCCCCTGTGCCTCAGTTTCCTCATATATACAGTAGTGAGTAGTAATCCCTACCTCCTGAGGCTGCCCCAAATTCTAAATGGGATAATGCATATAAAGTCCTTGGCACAGTGTCTGGGTGCTCCCAGGTATAAGCTTGCTGATTTGCAGGGCCTTCTTCAAATGCAGAGACCAGTATCGCCACCTTTCTGGCCTCTGAAAGAAAAATGTGGTTGTGGGTGCAAGAGAAAGAGGTACTGCCCCAGGCAGCTGGGGCCACACTAGATGAGTGCCCGTGATCTCCAGCAGCTCTCAGCGTAGCTGACAACTGAAGATTGGACTAGAGCTATCTGTGGCTGAAGGTCTGGTAAGGGGATGGAGCTGGTGGGCTGCTGCAGGAGAAGAGAGGCTGGAAGGCTCCTGTATGAATTTGCTTTAATAAGTTATCACAAACTGGGTGGATTAAACAACAGAAACTTAATCCTCTCACAGTTCTGGAGGCCAGGAATCCTAAATCAAGGTGTCAGTATGGCTGTATGTTTCCTCCAAAGGCTCTGGGGGAGAATCTGTTCCAGGCCTTTCTCTTAGCCTCTGGCGTTGCTGGCAATCCTTATTGGTTCTTAGCTTTTAGATGCATCACTCCACTCTCTGCCCCTGTTTTCACATATGGCTATATTCCTTCCATGTGTCTGCGTACAAAGGTCCTCTTTTTATAAGGGCACCAGTCATATTGGATTAGGACCCACTCTTCTCCAGTATGACCTTAAGTTAATTACATCTGCAGTGGCCCTATTTCAAAATAAGGGCACATTCACAGATATTGGTGGTTAGGAGTTTAGCATATCTTTTAGGGGAACACAATGCAACCCATAACAGCCCCCCTGGAAGAGGTGCCATTTGAGCTGGGTCTTCAAGAAGGCATTGCTCAAGGGGGTGACAAAGAAGGAGGAAGGCACTGAAGGAGAGGCACCAGCTTAGACAGGCTTGGGTGATACTTTGTTCCTATTTCCTTTCCAACATAACAAAAAAGACCAGTGAAGAAGTATGTTTTATTTGCCTGTGACGTTCTCAAGTGGGATGTGTCCCAGTCATGTGTTTTATGCTGTCATCATTTTGCTATCATTGGAGGACACAGATATCAGAGCTGCCCCTTGTGCAACAGGCACCCTGTCCCTGAAAGCCCTTCCATTTTCCTCTTGTCATCTCCAGTGTGCTGGGTCTCAGCCAAGTCCGAGGAGGGACATAGACAAGCAGCCCACTGACCTGGACTTCTAAAGCCTCCTAGTTTAGGTTGGAGCCAGATGTCAGAATCAACTCTGAGGTGACTTTCCAAAGAGAGCAGCCAAGCCACCATGGCTCACCCAAAATGAAGACCACCTACCTCCCCGCCTTCACCCTGGCTCCTCCTTTCCTCTTCCTGGGACCTCAGAGGGGCCTTTCTAAAGTACCAGTCTGATCATGTGAAGCCCCCCACGTCAAGCCCATTCCTTGGCCAGATCTGATGTCAAGCCAGCTGGCCTCCAGTAGGGCTATAGCTCCGTGAAGCTTCTCAGGTGTCCGTGGGCCTGGATTTGTGCACAGTCTTACACTTTAGTAGAGTCAGGACCCATGCCACTGTGCCTCCATTTTGCCCCCCACTGGGCTGGGGGCTTCACCAGGGCAGGCCTGGGCCTCACCCCCATCTGGACTCCTTGTCTCTACTGCCCTAGTGTGCCCAGAGGCAGCTGAAGAAAGGGATTAGTTGCTATAAGTGGGCTGGGTCTTAAAGGATGGATCTTAAAGGAGCTGGGGAGGTATAGTTTGGGATGCAGAGGACCCCCACAAAGCCAGGGAGCTCTAGATTCTTGCTGGTTCTGCCCATCACCATGGCCCAAGCCTACTGGGTATCAGACCCTGCAGTGGAACCAAAAAGTACATCAGACTTGGAGGGATGTGTGTGGTCACTTGTGGGCCAGGTTCTGAGCACAGGAATCCTCAAAAGGGCCCTCTGAGTGCTGAGAATATCTGATCCTCTGTGAGCTCCAGCTCACAGGCACCTGGTCACTTGCTTTCAGGCCCCAAGTCTCTGATATCCTACACCCACTGGCTCTCACTCCAAATTTGGTCTGTAGGTTTCCAGAGTATCTTGTTTGTCATCAGTCCCCATCAGTCATATACCCAGAATTCCCACTGACCTCACAAATAGCCACTTTGGACATTCCAGAGGGACCACAGCCAGGGCTCACCTCTGCAAGTGGATAGTAGCCTCATGGCAGCAGCTATAGACAGGGCATTGGAGCTGGGCGGTCCCGTTTCCACCCAGAAGGCCCCTTGCTGTGCCTGAAGGGGTCTGGGCTCATGGGTGGGGGATCAGTCAAGGGGTGTTTCAGTCTCCTTCCTCTGGAGCCTGGAGGTCAGTGGCCCACACTCAGCTGTAGCACCAAGAAAGCTTAAGGCCAAAGAGGAGACAAGAGGGGGAAAAAAAGGCAGCGGGTCTGGGTGTCCCACTGCATTGGCCAGGAGGCTCCTGAGGGAGAATGCCCTTGGACCCCTGGCACAGATGGGGAAGAGGGGGAGTTTTTTCTTACCAGCAACTCCCTAGCTCTCTTCCTTGGCTACAGTACAAGAGGCGAGGAGATTGTCCGCCTGCAGATCATGACACCTGGGGCAGGACTTCACCTGATGTCCCCAGACCTGGAAGGATTGAGGTATGGGGGCCCTGCTGGGCTCCTTCCATGCCATTTTAGAGATGGGGTCAGTAGGGAAGGAATGCAACTGATCAGGCCCAGGGGCTGGTTGGTGAGAGACAGGAGGCAGAGATTCATGCAACAGGCAGGCAGGATGGTGAGGTGGAAGGCAGCTTGCTGGGTTTGCTAGGAGCTGGGCTTCAGGGAACCTGGGGTGGGGGCAAGGGGAGATCTGAGCAGGGAAGGGCCAATTCTCTTTGGAGGAACAGGTGGAAGGAGGGATCCTGCAGCTCTCTGTCTTCTATTCATTTAGCTATTCACTCGGCTAACATTTACTGAGCTCCTGATGCATACCTGACCCCTGTGCCAGGGCCTGGAAGGCAACCGTGAAGCAGCCAGACTGAGATCCTGCCTTATGAAGCCCAGAGTCTAGGGAAGGAGGCCAGAGTGTATGCCCACTGGGGCAGTGGGAGCTCCAAGCAGGGGCCTGTCACCAGCTAGAGGTTGGGATGGTTAAGGGAAGGCTTCCTGGGGGAAGTGGCATCCAAGGTGAGTCCTGATGGATCTCCAGTTCTCTTTACTCTCCTCTTTGACTCCTCCTTCTCCACATCCCCACCCCAGTCAGGCACTGAGTCCTACCCATTTTACTTTAGGGATATTTCTTATTCCTATTCTATTGCCCCATCCCTAGACACTCCACATCTCTACCTGGATGAGATTTCTAAAAAGCAGAAGTAATCATGCCAACCCCCTGGAGAAAACCCTGCAATGCCCCCCACCCTGATTGGGCTCTGCAGCCTGAACTCACTACCCCTCATATATCCTCCCTCCTTGGGCCCTCAGCTCCAGCCTCCCAGGCCTCCATACAGTGCCTGTGCACAGTTGTCCACTCATAGATCAGTCTTCCCCAAGAACTCTGAGCACCTGGAGGGCAGGGGCTGCAGTTAAGTGTTCCATACATTCCCTTTGGCCCAGAACAGAAATGCAGGAGTGTTTGTTGCTGGAATGATTGAGGACCATCCAGTGTGATGATTTCTTTAATAAGGCAGTATTGCAAGCTGCTTCATTGGTTTCCCTAAGGTAAACAATCTATGAGAAACAAGGGCAAAGTGACCCCAAGAGATGCAGGAGGAAGCCAGGCTGCATCCAGTGAACATCCCTGCTGTGTCTCCTGTCTTCAGAACCCACAAGGCTTCTGGTACTTTGTCTGGGAGTGGCAAAGCTACGATAACCCATTGAGATCCCATGGGGTGCCCCTCCCCCACTTTCCAACGGGAGAATCAAGTTGGGGGAAGAAGAAAGAGGGAAAGCTAGAATTGACCAAGTCCTGCCCTGCCCCAACAGCCTAGCAGGTATCCCCATGCAGGGTGTAAATGCAGTCACTATGTCCATTTTACAGATGTGGAAATTGAGACCCTGAATGGTCAAGTAACTTGCTCAAGGTAACACGGCCAAGAACAGGCAGATTCAAGACTCCCACCCAGGCGGCTTGACTCCCACTCTGTGCCTTTTGCTCCATAATTCAGTACACTACTGGGGACCAGGGTGAAGGGGCAAGAAGGGGTGATATAAATACTTGGCATTTTTTAATAAATATATGATGAGTTTACTTGTGGGCATCCAAATGCAAATTGCCAGGAGGCATTTGAGGGTTTGTAGTTGAGGTTTTGAAGAGAGGTTAGGGCTCAAGAAATTTCCATGTTATATGCAGACAGACTAAAGTGAAATAATGGGATTCAGTGTCAGTGTTTACATGGGGTACAATGTAACGGGAATCAAGGAGAGAAGAGCCAGCAGGCTGAGCACAGATCCCAGTGTGGAGATGGCAACTGCCTGGTCATCCCCCCCTGAGGGCGGCTGGGGATGGCAGTCAATTCTAGCCATGTTGAAGGTGAGCTGTCTGAGGGCCAGTCTGAAAGGCATTGGAGGTGTGCGTCAGGAACACAGGGAGGTGGGAACAAGTAGGAGTCACTGGCTTGAAGGTAGCAGTTGATGCCATAGGAGCAGAGGAGGTGGGCAAGGTGGTGGAGCATGCACATGGAAAGGAATGCTGAGAACACCAAAATTACAGGGCAGAAGAGGAGAAAAAAGTAAAGGAGACTGGGAAGGTATGGCAAGGGAGGTAGGAGATGGTGTCACAGAGTCAGGACAGACAGATGGGGGAGAGAAGGCAGAAGTGGCCCACTAGGTCAGAGAGAACAGAGAGAGGTTGAATTAGGAGGTTAGGAGCAGTCTTAACATCATGGAGGATTATAGTCCAGAACTCTGCAATCAGACTGTTTGGGTTCAAATCCTAGCTCTTCCCCTTGTTACCTGGGGAACTTGGGGCAAATTGGTTGGGCTCTCTGTGCCCACATTCACTCATCTGGAAGTTAGGCCTGGATAAATACAGTGCCCATATCCTGGGGTTTATGTGGAGTGTTAATGCATGCAGAATCATGAGACTGTAGTCTGACCCTCAATCAACAGTTGCTATTAGTAATGAGAATTTGAGAATTGGCCAGTCCAACAATATCAGATTTTAAGTTTCTTGGAGATAATTGGCATTTAGGGATGAGGTAACTTCCTTCATCTGAGTGTGGGTGGCTACTGGGTGGTTAACTTATGTTTCTTTCCTCCATAGTTCTTCCCCAGGCTCCAAAGACAAAGAGGCCTCCAGCCCTAGAGAGGCCAAGAGAGACTTGTTTGGTGAGGAAGCCTGCAAGAGCCCCAGTCCAGACCCTGAAAGGTAACTCAGTGCAGGGACTTAGAGCCCATGTGGCCCTTGGTCTACGTCAATGGATGGAGCTGGGACCAGGACTGTCCAGTTCCCCAGGGTGTCCCCAGTGCCTGAGGCAGTGCAAGTCCTCAATGAATATTTGTTGAAAGAATAAATGAAGGAATGTATGAGGCCTGGAGAGGGGCAGGCCCCTGCCAAGATCCCTCAGGGAGCCAGTTGCAGAGCTGGACAAAACTCTAGGCCAGACCACCCCACCCCAGCCTTTGGCCCAACTTCACTGTGCCTTTGTCCCCATTGAAAGCAGTCCTGCTGAAGGCCAGGGCAAGCAAGGCTGCCAAGTCAGCAGTTTAAGGAAGTCAGTGACCAAAGAATACATGGGCCTCAACAGAACATCTAGCATGGACTTCCAGGATGACCTGTGGATAAAGGGAGACATGGTAGAGGCTGGCAAGGGTGTGAGGCAGAGTCAGTGGGGGATGATGAGTCCAGAAGGAATGGTTGTGCCCAGCCATCCTATGACCATCTCATTGAGTTGTCCTCCAAGCCAGACCAGGGAAGCCTGGGTGTGGTGAGCAGTGGCTGAGATTTAGACATTTTTTCAATGGGATTCTAGTAGCCAGTAATGGATAAGAGCCCACAACCTTGCCTGTCTGCCACCATTTTCTCAGTGTGGAGTTCTGGATCCCCAGTGGGGACTCAGCCATGGAAATGAGGGAAGGGGACCCAGGATGTCTTGGGGATCTTGTTTCTGCACTGGGCTCTGGTTTATTAGTGGCCCCAAATGCCTTGCCCCTTGTTCTTTTCAGCCATTGATCCCTCCATTGTGCCAGCCTCCTCCTGAGTTGCCACTTTGCTCTATTGTTTTGGCTTCACTCTTGCTCCTGGTCCATTAGGTTTGGAAGAAAAGCAGAAATACTTGCTGGTGTCAGGTTGGCTCTAGCTGGAGCAGTGCAGGGTGGCAGCCGAGAGCCTGGGCTTCTCGTCCTTGAGGCTTGCTCTCAGGACATCTTAGTTATATTAGATCAAAACCTAATCAGAGTCAGCAAATGCTTCTCTTCCCGTAACAGGTCAAGCGCACAGTCAAGTGATGGCAATGTGGGATCCAGAGCCATGAGCTTCCTACCTGAAGGCTTGACTGGAGCAGACATTGGCTCTGGGAGAGGAGGGTAAGCTGCCTGGGGAAGGCAGGAGGCCTCAACTTATTGATTCTCTCATGTCCCAGTGACAGGCCAGGGTCAAGCTGCCAAAACTGCTTGGGTTGCTGGGGACTGAGCACTGTCATTTCCCATAGTCCTATCTACAGCTTGCTTCTCCAGTTGCTGCCACCACATCCTTTGTCCCTGGGCTTTCCACTTATGGCAATTGCCGATGCTTGAATCTTGCTCCTTCTACCTTCTGCCACTGGCTCTCAAGATCCTCCAGAGCAAGCACAAGGGCTCACTTGCAGCCAGAGGCCCAGCCCTTGCCTGGGCAGGCATCAGGAGGTAGGATGAATGTGTGGGGGAATGAGTGAAGGGACGGACTAACAAACAAATGACCATCTTCTTGTCTGAGCTCTGAGGACAAGCTGAAGGAGGTCCTTCATCTCTGTTTTCTCCTTTCCCTTCCAGAAGCCCCAAAGCTCCTTTTCCTGCCCCACCAACCTTTCCTGGCCAGTTATGCTCTTTGGTTCAGTGAGAGGAAAAGCAGTGGCCCCTCTGAGAAGACAAGCATGTCTGGCTGGGCTCAAATTCCTGGACCTGGGTGGAGTCAGGGGCCACTTTCTCAGGTGATTCAGGAAGTGGCAAGGTCTCACCTGTCCCCAAGTGGTTCCAAGCCAAGAATGAGTCATCCTTGGGGACAAAGAATAGGTATGCTGATGTTGGCACAGATAGTTCAGCTCCAAGTTGTGCTAGCGCCCTTATGGTTCAGAGCAAATGGACGAAGAGGAATGACAAAGCCAGTGTCTGCCGAGAGCCACAAGGGCATGCAGGTACAAGGAAAGGCCCCTGGGCTGGAGCCTTGGCTCTTTGAGCTGTCACTAGTGGGGAGGACTCTCTGAGAACCCAGCACTTGCAGCCTGCATCACTATGTGCTGGCCAGCACTTGTGCTATTAACTGAATTTGCTGGTTGCTCTTGTAGACTTCTGCTTCATGTTTGAATATTCATCCAGATCATCCTTCTTGCTTACACACCTTCATAAAGTAAAATCTTTGCTTTCTGCTTTCAGTTTCCTTAAAATAAAGCCAAACATCAAGTCACCTTACAAAATAATCTGGAAGAATTGTCTAGATTTTTATGACTTTTAACCTTTCAAGATTCAAGAGTTTTATAGATTGTCTTAACCTATCCTTATTTTGACAATGATTTTTAAGAAACTTGCCTTTATTATATTTCCAAGGAAAATCTTTTTTTTTTAAGATTTTATTTTTAAGTAATCTCTGCACCCAATGTGAGGCTCGAACTTACAACCCTGAGATCAAGAGTTGTATGTTCTACCAACTAAGCCAGCCAGGCACCCCAGAAAATGTTCTTTCTTTTTTTTAAGATTTTATTTATTTGTCAGAGAGAGAGAGAGAGCGCGCACGCACACAAGCAAGGGGAGCGGCAGGCAGAGGGAGAAGCAGGCTCCCTGCTGAGCAAGGAGCCCGAGGTGGGACTCGATCCCAGGACCCCAGGATCATGACCTGAGCCGAAGGCAGACACTTAACCGACAGAGCCACCCAGGCATCCCAGAAAATGTTATTTCTTATGCAGAAAACAATCACTCCTTTTCCATTCACTTTTTTCCCATTCACTTTTATGAGTTTAATAATTGAATTTAGTAATTATGGTTGGAAGTACAAATGGGATAAACAGATTTGAGAACAAACGTGAGGAACTCTTAGTGAGCATGCTACTCAAGTGCAGGCTTGCACAGGCGATGAGGTGAGCTGTGACTGCTCAACATGCTGTGAGCATCAATCTGCCTGATTTTTTTTTAAATTTTATTTTATTATGTTATGTTAGTCACCATACAATACATCATTAGTTTTTGATGTGGTGATCCATGATCCATTGTTTTCGTAATACACCCAGTGCTCCATGCAGTACGTGCCCTCCTTAATACCCATCACCGGGCTAACCCATCCCCCCACCCCCCTCCCCTCTAAAACCCTCAGTTTGTTTCTCAGAGCCCATAGTCTCTCATGGTTCATCTCTCCCTCCGATTTCCACCCCCCCCTTCATTTTTCCCTTCCTTCTCCTAATGTCCTCCATGCTATTCCTTATGTTCCACAAATAAGTGAAACCATATGATAATTGACTTTCTCTGCTTGACTTATTTCACTGAGCATAATCTCCTCCAGTCTCATCCATGTGGATGTAAAAGTTGGGTATTCATCCTTTCTGATGGCTGAGTAGTATTCCCTTGTATATATGGACCACATCTTCTTGATCCATTCATCTGTTGAAGGGCATCTCAGCTCTTTCCACAGTTTGGCTATTGCAGACATTGCTACTATGAACGTTGGGGTGCATATGGCCCTTCTTTTCACTACATCTGTGTCTTTGGGGTAAATACCCAGGAGTGCAATTGCTGGGTCATAGGGTAGCTCTATTTTTAATTTTTTGAGGAAGCTCTCACTGTTTTCCAAAGTGGCTGTACCAACTTGCATTCCCACCAACAGTGTAAGAGGGTTCCCCTTTCTCCACAACCTCTCCAACATTTGTTGTTTCTTGCCCTGTCCATTTTTGCCATTCTAACTGGTGTAAGGTGGTATCTCAATGTGGTTTTGATTTGAATTTCCCTGATGGCTAATGATGATGAACATTTTTTCATGTGTCTGTTAGGCATTTGTATGTCTTCTTCGGAGAAGTGTCTGTTCATGTCTTCTGCCCATTTTTTGACTTGATTATTTTTTTGCGGGGGGTGTTGAGTTTGAGAAGTTCTTTATAGATCTTGGATACCAGCCCTTTATCTGTAGTGTCATTTGCAAATATCTTCTCCCATTCTGTGGGCTGCCTCCTTGTTTTGTTGACTGTTTCCTTTGCTGTGCAGAAGCTTTTTATCTTGATGAAGTCCCAAAAGTTCATTCTGCCTGATTTACAGAGAGACAAAGAATGCAGCCTACCTTGGGAAGACTGGTAAGACAGCAACCCACTCACTCAATCTGTATCCAGTTGATGGATACAGATCAACTGCAAAGGGATGCTGCTTCTATAAATGGCCACAGGCCCCAGTAATAATAACAGGAGCAATTTAGCACATGCTAGGGCTTAGGCATTATTCTAAGTACTTGTCATCTATTAACTCATTTACTCTTCTTGGAAAACTTACGAGTCAGACACAATTATCATCCCCATTTCACTGATGACCAAACTGAGACCCAGAGAAGTCAGGTGATGCGCCCAAGATCACACAGCTGGGAGGTAGCAAAGTGATGATTTGAACGCAGGCAATGCGCCTGCAGGGAGCATACACTGCCCCAGTGTCAGGCAGTTGTGGGCTCTGAGTGATTATTATGCCCTGAGCATCTGTTTGAGCAGCCCTTCAGCTCTCATCGGAAGCCATCCTTTGGGGAGGGAATAGACATACAGACACAAAGTCCTTAACCCAGACCAGACTTGGACTCCTTCCACAGACTATGTTCAGCTGCTGGCTTCCCCCCATCTCCTGGATGATCAGGATGTGTGTGGTGCCAACTCTCAGCCTTGCAAGCCCAGCACCTACTCACAAGGACCCAAGCTGAGGTGGCAGAGGGGATGGCATTGGGAGACAGAGCTTGGGAAGAGACCCTCCTGTAGGGACTGCCGCTCAACCCAGCAAGCGGAAGTCAGGAGGAGGAATACCAGGGACAGCCAACCAGTCTCGGGAAGCACATGGAAGTGGTTGAGGAGAGCACATGCCTCCAGGGGTGCTAAGGTGCAACGGGAAGGGGTTGTGCATTCCTACGCAGCAGGCTTCTGCCTTATTTCATCTACCAATCCACCAGTAGGAGTGGCTAGTTTGCTGTGGGTGTGTGGAACATTTAGTAAGGAACAATCTTCCTGTACTCCCACACAGCCCCAGGAGATATAGATCAGGCAAGGATACCGGAACCCAAAACCAAGAGCTGATCGGGGCAGTGCTTGATCTTGAACTCAGGTGCTAAGGCCACAGCTCATAAGATGTTATCACACACAGTGGCGTCTGTGCCATACTAACAGCAGGACTGAGATGCCATCCTTTACTGGCAGATGTTGGTCTCCCTTTCCTGTGAGAAGGCAACTGGGAAGGGCCCCGAGTCTCCTTTGGTCTGAGGCCTCATCAGGCATGTGTGCTTTCTCCCTCAGCTCCAGTGCCACTCTGGCCTCTGCTGGACCAGCTGACTGGAAGAGTGACAGTCCAGTAGACCTGGAGGACAGGGAGGCACACCTGAAGGGGTAAGGCATCAGGCAACAGTGCTGAGCTTCTGAGGTGGAGAGAAAAATTCAGGTATGCATTAGCCTTTGTCTTGGAAGGTGAGGCCAGCAAGGCCTGTGAGCTGGTCCGAAGCATGTGGCAAGAGCTGAAGCCCCAGCTAGCGCCCTCTGGCCTCTGCCTCTGCGGCCACAAAGCTTTCCACTACACCTTGTTGCCTCCAGCCAGGAAGTCTTCCATAATCAGGAAGTCACCTACTCTTTCAATCAACAGTCATTCGAATGGCACCTGCCCTGTGCTGGAGGCTGGAGCACACAGATATGGCTGATGGGAGACAAAGCCTGGCCCAGACTGGAAAAATACATTATGCTAGAGCAGGGAAATGGGGGGGACCAGGACAGCTTCGTGGGGGAGGTGGCTTTTGAGCCGAATCTTGAAAGGTGAATAGAGGTCCTTCAAGCAAAGGAAACAGGATAAGCAAAGGACTCCAAACATCCTGCTATTTCCTGGGCACTGCATGTAGTTGAGTGTGGCTAGTACTGAGGGTCCTTGTCAGGGACTGGTGAAATAGAAGGCTTGTCGGGGTATGAAGGGACTGATTGGCCTTTAATACCAGATATTGTTAATGACCACTACAACCACTTAACTTTGGGTCACATACTGTGTGCACAGCCTTGACTCACTGTGTCTTATACAGTGCTCCCCACAATCCTGTGAGTTTTGCACCTAATTAGAATGAAGAACAAAGGTCTGGAACATAGGTATCTGTGCCTCCTGGGAAGAACAGTGCTCCGAAAGAAATAGCCAGGGTTCTGGTATAGAGTGGTGACAGTGAAGAGGGCTACTACTTACATGGGGTAACTCAGGCAAGCTCCTCTAAGGAGGAAAAGGAACCAATTCTAGGAAGAGCAAGGAGAAGAGAGCTGCAGATAGAGAACTGCAGACAAACCCTGCAGTGGGAATACACTAGAGTGGCTGCAGCCTAGCCAATGGCAGGGACCATAGATGGACCAGGGCTTTGGTAAGCTATGAGGTCTGAGACTCTATTATGTGGCTTTTTGGGTTCAAATTGCATTGACAGTTAACAGAGTGAAAACAGTAACTGACACCTATAGTGTGCTCTGCTGGATGCTTTACAATCTTTCCAGCAACCCCATAAAATGAATAAGCAGGGAAACTGAGGCACAGAAAGGTTAAGTGACTTGCCCAAGGGCTTACAAGTGGCCAAGCTGAGTTCCAGGGCAAGAGCCTCTTAAAAAAAAAAAAGAAACAAGGAAAAACTTTAAAAAGCTATTTTATGAAATCTGTTGTGTGAAGCCTATTCTCAAGATCCAGAACCAGTAACTCTCCGCTAGTTAACGTGTGAAGCACCTTGTCTGCATGATCTCATCTAATATTCCCCAAACCTGGGGCAGGATCTGGCTTCTTATTATGCAATATGACAATGGAGAAAACTCTGGCTGCGCTCGAGAATCACCAAGAAAGTGTTAAAAAAAAAAAAAATCCCGAGCCCCATGCGGAGGTTTAGATTTAATTGTTGTGGGGTGGCTTACACCATCCATGTCTTTTTAAAATCTCCCAGTTTATTTTCACGTCCAGTCTAGGTTGAGAATCATTGCCGGCTTCGCGCCTGGGCTTTTGATTGGCGCGCACCTCTGCGCGCGCGCGCGCCTACTGGAGCGCGACCCCGTCTTCTGTGTGCCTGCGTGGCGGGGGCAAGCCCACTGAAGCCTTGTGCGCCTGCGTGCACCGCCATTTCCTGCATCGGGGAGCTCGGGTCGCAGTGCCTATCGGGAAATACGACCATCCACAAAGCGAAATGGCTGCCCAGGACTAGAAAGGCCTCAGTGTAGTTTCTCCTTCTGCCGTGCTGATTCCGGCCGCTAGATGGCGCGCAAGGATCAGAAATGGGCCGGGTGGTCCGTCTGGGGTCGCTGTGGGCTTTCACTGTGCTTGCATGGATGGCCTGGTGGGCGCAGGTGGTGTCACCGACCTTGGGGTTGCAGCAGGCCCCCCTGACCCCTTGTGGACCATCGCCGCAGTCCTGACAGAGGCGGGAGAGAGGGAGCGGGCTGGGTGCCCGCAAGGAGCCCTAATGGGCTACTGGGGTCCCAGCCTGTTTGGCAGGGTGCCCTGGCCTTGGTCGTCTCTGGCCCCTGGCCACTGATCTTCAGAGCTGCCCGGGGGCAGGGGCTGTGGACTCACGGGGAGGGCTGCCAATCCTCCATCAATGAGGGACCACCTGGGTGGATCTGCCTGGACAGGGCTTTGGGGCCCTGGAGAGGCGGCTTAATTCCCAAGAGTTGTGTGAGGAAGGGTGATGGGGGTGGGCAAGGAGATCCTGCAGAGCAAACTGTCCCAAACTTGAGGAACTCTTCCCTATTCTAACTTGGTCTTGTTTCATTACATAGGCGGGAAGAGTCAGTATAGTGTGGTGATCAAGAGCATTTATTCCTGTGCATGGGCTCACAGTGAAGCTCTGTCACTTACTCCCTATGTGGCCTTGGGTATCTTTCCCATCTCCTCATCTAACAGAATCCAAGCTCGTTCTGCTCACTGCAGGACAGGCCAGTAAGTGGAGAGACAAGATGTTAGGGTAAGGAAAGCGACTTTATCCAGAAAGCCAGCAAACCAAGGAGATGGTAGACTGTTATCCTAAGGAACTATCTCTTCTTGGCATGAAATTTGAGCTTCATAAAAAAATTAAAAGAAAGTTAGTTAAAGGGAGGAAGCAGGAGGGGGTGGAATTAAAAGGTGACTGATATCTGCAGACATCCCAGGAAGGTTGTGTAACTTCTCTGTCCTTAGTCAGTTTATCTTTGTTTATAGGAATCTGGTCATGTTGTTCCTGTAAATCTTAAACATAACATAGTCATTTGTGTGCATACTTACTTATCTCCTTGGGTGAGGTAAGTTTTGGGTAAAGAGTGGTCTTTGCAAGTCTTAGCTGTAGCATGCCTATGTGCATGGCTAAACTAGAAGTTTCTAAGCTATAGGTCACAGTAGCAAGGAAAAGAGAAGCAATATGGAGTCAAACATGCTAAGTTTGTTCCTATTACACTCTGTGTTTGAATTTCCTTACTTATAGAATAGTGGTAATAATAGTTTCCACCACACAGGGTTGTTGTGAGGATTAAGTGAGTTTGTTTGTATAAAGCATGTAGGACATTCCCTGCCACAAAGTACTATGTCAGACTCTCCTTTTATAAAAACTTCAAGCTAAATAAAGCAGCCCCAAAGGAATACCTCCTTTTACCAGAACACTGGGAAAGCTGCTGTTCCCTTCTACATTTTTATTGGCCTGATTTCTTTTAATAAGACACAGAGTAGTTCATCCCCTCCCCACCAAACTTTGGGTATTTTTACATCTAAAACAGAGTTTTGCTCTTTGTTATGTTGCAAGCCTGGGCTTTCCACATTTATGTTCTTTCTGCATGAGGAACAGGTAAACTTTAGGCACATGTATTCACTGTGGACAACCATTATCAATCAGCAGAGGAGTCTTTTGGAAGTAGTGTAAGAGTGGAAGGGGATGTTATCTTCCATGTGGGAATGTGATTGTGTCCAGAATAGACAGTAGCTGTATTAGGCTACTGAATCTTTGGTCTAGTTACAGCCAGAAGTATTACTTTGCCTATCTCTAAACACTTAACTTCCAGGCAATTCATTAGAGGCATGGGAGACCTCTGGGGTATTACATTGCTCAGCAAGACTTCCTGTGACTAAGATTTCCTTATTATAGGTCAGATGGATTACACCTCCTATAATTGTAGCGACTTTGTTCTGAGGCCTAGGGCAAAGGAACCTTATTCATCCACTTGTCCTTGTGTTGCAGTGGACCCCCAAATTACTCTTTTCAGAGAATTTTGACTTGATGCACAAATTGATGAGGACAATCTCTGTTACCATAATTCTATAAAGGACAGGAGGTGGGACAGGATTCTGATTAAGTCCATGGCAAAGCTAGTTCAGGGCTTACAGAGGCAGGAAACAAGCCCTTTAGGCTTTCTAGGTTTGTCTTTGCCTCAAGCATGTATGTCACATGTAGGGTTGGGGTGGGTGTGTCAGGGTATCCTGCTGGCTAAGGGACTGGCATTATCTGAGCAGACCACTCTTGATATCTGGCTGGGCTGCAGCAGACCATCAGGGTAGAAGCAGCACAGAGAGGGACAACACCCACTTGCCTGCCCATTTGCCTGGGCAGCTGGTAGTGGTAATAAGCTTATTATCCCTGCTAGGGTACTTTGGTTCATGTCACTTGAGGCCGAAAAATCGCATTGCTTTCAGGGCATACTCCAAAAACTATGGTCACTGCTCCACTTGTTATTTCAGCTTGAAGGCAGGGAGCATACATATTATGGGATTAACTTCTGTGAATAAAAAGTCCCAGGGCTAGAGGTAACTGGTAGTGTGATCTTCTTATCCCAGGGTAGCCCCGCCAGTGATTGGAGGCATGCTGCTGATGTTGGGAGGCTTGAGTTCAGGTTAAGCCATCTGGGTGATGATGAACTAGATTTTTATTTTCTAGAATGCTGGCTTAAGCTCTCAATAACCCGACTCAGTGTCCTTGGCCTAGTGGGCATATAACATCTTTGAGGCCTCCAGGTAGCAGCACCATCACACATAGAGGTCATGGGGAAGGCACCAGGAGAAAGAATAAGGCCCTTGGAAGCACCTCAGATGGGGATGGTGATGGGAAGGGTGTTCAAGTGTAGGTGTGGCATGAGGCCAGGGAGGAAGATCTCCCAAAGAGCTTGATGTGTGGGATAGCTGAGAAGCCACTTCCTCCTTTGCCAGATTCAGGGGATGGCAAAAGCATCAGAAGTTCAGACTTTCTCTATTATGAGTGGGGATTGCTTTTGTCAGTGGGAAGGGGAGCAGTGGTAGTGGGATTCTCCCAAAGACGAGAAAGACTGGTCTCCGTGTGGTGGGGGCCATCCTGGGCTCTTCTCTTTCCCATCTTCTGGAAGAGGAGCCCACTATGGCCACAGGAGGTGACATCAGCAGGCAGTGGGTAAAGAAGGACTGGTCCCAAAGCACTTGCTCCATAAGGATATTTATTCTTCCTCAGCGCCTTGGCTGGTTCTGAAGAGAAGAATGTGGCTTCCAAGGTGGGAGAGACCTGGCAGGAGAAGCCCACAGCCCTGAGAGGTGGCCAGGGAGACCCAGCTGCACCCTCCCAGCAGCCTGCAGCCCCCAGGACCCCAGAGCCACAGAGCAGCCCCAGAAGACCTGAGCAGCTTGTAGAACTGGACAGCCAGGCCAGCAGGTAAGGGTTATGCTGTGCTGGGCTCCTGCCTGCCTGAGGTGAAATTTTGTCAGGGGCCATGACCCAGGTAGGACCCACTTTTTAAAAAAGATTTATTTATTTATTTTAGAGAGAGAGAGAGAGTGGGGGGGGGAGGGGTAGAGGGAAGAATCCTGAAGCAGACTCCCCACTGCATGTGGAGCTCGATATGAGGCTCGATCTCATGGCCCATGAGATCATGAGCTGAGTTGAAACTAAGAGTCGGGCACTTAACCAACTGAGCCACCCAGGTACCCCAAGTGGGATCCACGTTTACCCCATGTTCATGCCAGTGCCTGGCACTCACACACCCAGGAGCTCAAACTCCTGCCCCATGAGTGGAGTTGGGATGGTGACTCCCTGGGTGTGAAGCAGTGTTGAGGGGCTTCCTGTGGTACAAGTAGCTGGGATAGGGCCTGTGATAGAAGTAGGTGTATGTACCCAGAGGTAAGAAGGCCTGGCTAATTTCTGACATGTGAAGCAGGAAGGTCTCCCAGGATGGGGGTCCCAAGTAGGATGAGGGTTATTTGTATGTATAAAATGGCACTGTCAGAGAATGAGAGAGAGAAGATTGAGACTGAATAATAACTGACATTTTCTAGGCAACCTCATCCACTCTGTAGCCCCCAGTATAATCTTCACTCAACTCTAGACCTGTTTACTCCATGGCCTACTGGACATTGTTATCCAGATTCCCTACAGGCACTTTACATTCAGCATTACCCAAATGACCTTATCATATCTCTGCATGGCACCTCCCCCCAAATTCCTTGCTGTCTCTCAGCTTATTCTTTCCACGATCTGGAACCATTACCATCCACCCAGTTGACCAATCCTGAAATCTTGGAAGAGCCTTGGCTACCACTTCCCTTCACCTTTACCTTTTATAAGACAACAAGACTTGTGGCCTTATCATCTCTCCCTTGGCTGAGCATTTTCCTAACTGGTTTCCTGCATCATCTTACTTTATACCCCCTGGCCTGATTCTCCACATGGCAGCTGAAGGGAATCTTCATACAAGTCATGTCTGGTCTGTCCATGATGAATATAACATATTAATGTTATTAATGTCAGTTTTGTTGTTGTTTAATGGATATGGAGTTTCCTTGGTCTCTTGTTTATACTATTGGCCTCCCTTCCTCTTCCTCTTCTCTTGGGGAAGAATGGCTTATTGGTTAACAGCTGAGAACAGGAACTTCATGAATCTAGCTTGGCCAGTAATTCTCCTTGTATTTGGAAGCAGATGGCTTCAGATGTACAGCCAAGAAGGTTCCCCTTGAATTCTTTGCTTCTGTCTACAAGCCCCCAGGGCCAATTGTCCAGCCAGGCTCTTGGCTGGGTGAGTAAGGACCTGTGGTTCAAGGATGCAATAGGAGCCCTCCTTTTTGGCTCTACACGTAAAGCCATCTCCTTCATCAGCTGACATTTATCTCCATTTTCTGTTCTTTCTTCGTCTAAAAAAAGAGGTGTTAATTATTGGCCCCCTAAAACTCTGAGTCTATACAATGAAAAAAAGGAAAAATAAGAGAGAAACAAAGGCAGATGCATCAGAATTCTGGATAGTAATATTGAAAGGTCTTTTAGCAGAAAAGGACCTGAAGAGGGGTACTAAGAAGGAAAATTTTGGATAAATGGAAGAACCTGGAAAGAGTACCATCATGGAAACCAAGCCAGGCTGAGCTAACTTTCCAGTATGCTGTGTACCCTTAAATAAGCCCATAGATTTGGTAAAACGGAGTTTATGGCTGCTTTAAGCAGGGGGCAGGTCATGGGAGTAGAAAGACTGTGGTTAACTTATGATGGACTGAGGAAGAAGTGGGCGGTGAGGTGGTGCAGTTGGTAGAGGTGTACAACTCTTTCTAAAATGTTGGCCAGGAATTGATGGAGATTGGATGGATGAGCAGATAAACACAGCTACAGGATGAGGGGAAGGGCTTTTTAAAGTGTATGTTTATGTGCTCAGGTGAGGAAATATACTCTGGGTAAAGAGGGTTTGATATTTGAAGAAAGAGTGAGCAAACCCAAAGGTGAAGGGTCACTGTATTTATGGTAAGGGCTTAGGGTGGTAAGTTCTAGAGCCTTGGGAAGGAAGGAGATGGCTCTGTCTTAGAGACAGGAGGGAAGGATGGGTGCGAATGTAGGTTGGGGGGCAGTGGAAGGAATATGCAGAGTAATGTGGGCTCCTTGATTTTTTTCTGTGAGTTAATGAGCCACACATTCTATAATTAAACCAAATTTTACTTAGTGACTACCAGCCCATGTACTAAGCATTGGGGATACTGACAAATAAAATTTGGCCCCTGACCTCAAGGAGGTATGGATAAGGTATAATGGCAGCATAGTAGGAGTATGTGACTTGATTGGCCTCATTGAATCAGGGAAGGCTTCACAGAGGTGACAGTTAATGTTCCTCTTGAAGAACTTTGTGAGAAGGTGAAGGAGGAGTTCAGGAGTAAGGGGACTCTCCTGTGCTAAAGGGTAGATCAAAGTGTTGCATGCTTGAGGAGCACCCTGTGGTTTGATATGGCTGTAGTTTATGGTGAGAAGACCGTGGAAAAGTTGATGTTGGGCAGATGGTGTACAGACAAAGATTTTATTTATTTGTCAGAGAGAGAGAGCACAAGCAGGGGGAGCAGCAGGCAGAAGGAGAGGGAGAAGCAGGCTTCTGCTGAGCAAGGAGCCCGATGTGGGACTCGATCCCATGACCCTGGGACCATGACCTGAGCCCAAGGCAGACGCTCAACGACCTGAGCCACCCAGGTGTCCTTTTTACAGACAATAGTTAACCTAGCAGGCCTGAGACTGCTCTTTTTAGAAAGGGCTGCTTGTGAGGCGCCTGAGTGGCTCAGTTAAGTGTCTGCCTTGAGCTCAGGTCATGATCCCAGGGTCCTGGGATCGAGTCCTGCATCCGGCTCCTTGCTCAGCAGGAAGCCTGCTTCTCCCTCTCTCTCTCTCTGTCTCTCATGAATAAATAAATAAAATCTTAAAAAAAAAAAGAAAGGTCTGCTTGTAAGATGTGCCTCTGGGAACTTGAAAAGGTAAACAGTTCTCTACACTGATATGAACCTTTCTCTAAATGATAAGAGATAAGGCTTTATCTGGACAACTAGTACAAACAATGTACTTTATGCTGACTCTCTGCTTGCTTCCTGGGAGTTGGGAATTTCGGTACATGCCAGGCAGAAAGTGCCTATGTGACCCATCTCCAAAAATAATCCTGGGCTGTGAATGAAAACGCTGCCTTTTCCTTTCACTGATTTTGCTTGGTATCCTTTTGTGGTCATAAATCTTAGCCTTGAGAATGACTATATACTTAGTCCTGGGAGTCCTCCTAGTGAATCACTGACCCTGGGGGTGGTTTTAGGGACACCAATACACCATATCAATCTAATAAAGGACAAAAGCCACCTGTTCACAGATGGGCAGGGTCAGATCCTTATGCCTTAACAAGGACTTGGACTTTCTCCAGAGGACGAAGAGAAGTCAGGAAAGTTTTTTAAAAAAAATCATTGTCCACAATAGCCAAACTGTGGAAAGAGCCGAGATGCCCTTCAACAGATGAATGGATAAAGATGTGGTCCATATATACAATGGAATATTACTCAGCCATCAGAAAGGAGGAATACCCAACTTTTATATCAACATGGATGGGACTGGAGGAGATTATGTTAAGTGAAATAAGTCAAGCAGAGAAAGTCAATTATCATATGGTTTCACTTATTTGTGGAACATAAGGAATAGCATGGAGGACATTAGGAGAAGGAAGGGAAAAATGAAGGGGGGGAAATCGGAGGGGGAGACGAGCCATGAGAGACTATGGACTCTGAGAAACAAACTGAGGGTTTTAGAGGGGAGGGGGTGGGGGGATGGGTTAGCCCAGTGATGGGTATTAAGGAGGGCATGTACTGCATGGAGCACTGGGTGTTATACGAAAGCAATGAATCATGGATCACTACATCAAAAACTAACGATGTACTGTATGGTGACTAACATAACATAACAAAATAAAATTTAAAAATATCATTGTAAAATTCACACAACATAAAAATTACTATCTTAACCATTTTAAAGTGTGCAGTTCAGTAGTATTAAGTACATTTATGTTGTGCGACCAATCTCCAGAATGCTTTCTGTCTTGCGAAACTGTAGCACTTTCCCCATGAAATAACTCCCCAGCCCCTGGCACCCACCAATCTACTTCCTATTTCTATAAATTTGAGTACTCTAGGTTCCTCATAGAATTGGAATTATGCAGTATTTGTCCTTTTGTAACTAGTGTCTTTCAGTTAACTTAATGTCTTCAAGGTTCATCCATGTTGTAGCATATGTCAGTATGTCCTTCCTTTTTAAGGCTGATTCATATTGCATAATATAGACACACACTGCATTTTGTTCATCCATTCATCAATAGACAGTTGGGCTGCTTCCAGTTTTTGGTCATTGTGAATAATACTGCAATAAACATGAGTGTACAAATATCTCTTTGACATCCTGCTTTCAATCCTTTTGGGTATATACCCAGAAGTGGAATTGCTGGATCATATAGTAATTGTATGTTTAAGTTTTTTGAGAAACCGTCATGCTATTTTCTACAGTGGCTGTTTTCTATCATTTTACATTCCCACATACATAGAGCCAGAAAAGTTTTAAGCAGGGGAGTGATATGGTCAGAGTTATGATTTAGGGTTATCTCTATGGTGGCAGTGTGAAGAATGAACTGGAAGTGGGAAGAGTGGAGGCAGGGGGAAGAGCTACGAAGTGGTTCCAGTCCACCAAGTAAGAGATGAAGGGGTCCCAACTAGGGTAGTAGCTATGGATATGGAGACAGAACTGTTAAATAAGTATAATGGACCTAGAATTGGGCAACTGATAAGACTTGGGGGAACAGTGAGGAAAGGGGAAATGTTAAGTCAGAAAGCCATATTTGTGACTCATGTAGCATGGCGGAGTGTGTGACCTCTTTCAGCCCAGGTTGTGGGCAG